CGGCCGCGCTGGATGTTTGCGCGGCTCGCGCTCGGCCGCCGGCGCCGCCGCTCTCGTACGGATTTGGTTCGCTTGCACCCGCTTTCGGACTTCGGCGAGGAAGGAGAGAGACTTGCGGACGGACCCCTGCCGGAGTTGGGCGTTTTCTCTTCGTGTGTTTGGCTGCTTTTCCCCCTGGTCTCTGACGACCCCCCATCGTGACCCCTGCTAAGGAACCAAACCATGAACTTGGGGCTGACGGGACCTCTTTAACCCTTTGCGACCAGGTAATGCAGCCGTGGGGGCGCGGCTCTCTCGCTCGCCGTTCGCTGTCGGAAGGGAGGTGGCCGGTTCGGGGATCTTTTGTTGCGGCGGCCGGGCCCGCGGGCAGGGGTGGCAGGGGCGGGCTGCTCGCGTCTGGCGCGCCTGAGCCCCCCTGGCCACCCCTCCTCCTCCTTCCCTCCCTTCCTCTGCGGCCGGGTCGCCCGCCTTTGTACTTTCCTCCCCCGCCGGCCGGGCTCGATACGGGAACCGTGGAGCGGGCGGCCGCGGCTGCTCGGTAATAGCCGGGGACCCGGGCCGCCCCGGAGCCTACTGCCCCGAGTGGCTTCGCCTAACTCCGGGGCCCGGCCCTGCGCCCGCTGGGGCCAGAAACCTTGGCGCTGCGCTGCTGGGTCCTGGGGTAGCACTTGCCGGCTCCCAGGTCGGGATCCCGGGCGGCACGCGGTGCCAAGGGAAGTGAAAGGAGCTCCGCTCTCAGGCTCGGCGGCAGTTGGGGGAAAACTCGTGCTTAAGTTTCAAGGAGGTTTTTCCTTTCTTTTTGGAAAGTCCCTCTTGCTCCGGGGTGCGTGTGCCCAGGGCTGGCCCCAGGGCCTGTGGCCGAGAGAAATGAAGGTGAACTGAGCCTCGGAGCGCCGGCAACCCATCTCGGTCTGCGCGGGAGGCTTTTTTTCGTTGTCCTCTTTCTCCGTGTTCTTTCCTCTAATCTGACTCATTTAACTTTTCTTTAAACATCAACTACGACGTCTAGTAATTTTTAATATTAAAAAATGCATCCGTTCCCTCCTTCCCCATAAAAAGCAGCCAAAAGATAACTTTGCTTTTCTATCAGTCTTAAATGCAGTTACTTTATGCCCTCGCCCTCCAAAACCAAGCAAGGCGGTTGAAATCAGATGACTAGCAAAATCAAAATGTCCTTAGTGTGTAAAGACACCCGTGTGTTTTAAAAAAAGGCGAGAAGAAAACGCACTGTTCTTCTGTTAATTCTCAAATCACCATCTTATGTTCTGCTATTACTGACTTAAAAAAAAAAAACAGCCAGGTGATAGAAGGAATTGCGGATTTTTTCCTGAGAACCGTGATAAAGAAAACAACTCAAAGATTAAAACCCTAGGAGCTAAATATTTGTATAAATGCTTTTAAAGTGTAAGTAGAATTAAGAAAGTTCGCTGTGGAAAAGCATTTTCTTGTTTCTACTTAAGACTTTATCTAAGAAGGTCTTTCAAGACTTTTCAGGACAGTGGTCTGCCAGTTTTAACCACTTGGATGGGAAAAAAGAGATCTGGAATCATTTTATGATTAGCCAAATTCCCATTGCAATCTTTCTTTTGGGGGTTTTCTATGGAGGCCTTTTTGAGACCCTTCCCAGTTGCAAGAACCACCATTTCAGGCTTCCTGACATAGATAGAAAAATTAAGGACTCCAGAAGCTTTTAGCAGAAGGCATGCACCCAAACCTCTCTGAATAGCCTGTCACTTATTTCCTTGTTAACTGACTGATTGGCATCCTAGTAATCACATCCTCTTAAGTTTACTTGAGACATAAACATCACTTTTCCGCCTGTTTGAGAATTCCTGTGTACCCTAGTTACTGACAAAGGTAGTAGTCCCGAGGAGGGTGTGAAAGACAACAGAAGGGCCTGTTCACCTACAGCGTCTGTCCTGTT